ATCAGTGCTTATTTTTGGTGTTGTACATCCTGTGGGTTTGGACAGATCTACAGTGATATGTACCCATCATTATAGTTTGATGCAGAGTGTTTCAGTGCCCTGAAAATCCTCTGTGCTCTGCCTACCACTTCCTGCCCCCATCCCCTGGCAACCACCGATCTTGCTGCAGTCTCCCTAGTTTTGCCTTTTCCAGAATCCCATTTAGTTGGAATCACACAGAATGTAGCCTTTCCAAACTGACTTATTTCATTTGGGAATATGCACATGAGGTGCCTGCTTGTCTTTTCGTGGCTTGACAGCCCATTTCCTTTTGGGGCTGAATAATCTTCCGTTGTCTGGGTGTTCCACAGTTCATCCATTCACCTACGGAAGGACATCTGGGTTGCTTCCAAATTTGGGCACTTAGGAATAAAGCTGCTGTGACATTTGTGTGCAGGTTTTTGTGTGGACATGAATTTTCAACTCCTTTGGGTAAATACCAAGGAACTTGATGACTGGATGGCATGGTAAGAGTGTGTTTGATTTTGTGATAAATGGGTGAACTGTCTTCCAAAGTGCCTGTCCCATTTTGCATTTTGCCAGCAATGAATGAGGGTTTCTGTTGCTCCACATCCTTGCCTGCATTTGGTGTTGTCAGTGTTCTGGATTTTGGCCATTCTAGTAGGTTTGTGTTGATTTCACGTTGTTTTAATTTACCATTCCCTGATGAAGTATGATGTGGAGCCTCTTTTCATATACTTAGTTGCATATCTTTAATATCTGCATATTTTTTGTGAGGTACCTGCTAAGGTCTTTGACTTATTTTTTAATTGAAGTTTTTATTGTTGAGTTTTAAGGGTTCTTTGTATGTTTTAGATACCAGTTCATTATTAGATATGTCTTTTGCAAATACTTTCTCCCAGTCTGTGGCTTGTCTTCTCACTTTCTGGACAACGTTGATTTCATGTTGGAAATCAGTAGGGTTTCTTTTTTTTTTTTTTTTTTTTGAGTTGGAGTCTCACTCTGCCACCCAGACTGGAGTGCAGTGGCTACTCCCGGCCACCGCAGCCTCGACCTGCTGGGCTCCAGCAATCCTTCCGCCTCAGCCTTCCAAGTAGCTGGAACTACAGGCGCGCACTACCACGCCCAGCTAGTTTTTTGATTTATTGTAGAGATGAGGTCTCGCCTGCCCAGGCAGGTCTCGAACCCGCGGGCTCAGGCAATCCATTCACCTCAGCCTCCCAAAGGCGTGGGATTACAGGCTGAGCCACCGAGCCCGGCTCAGTAGGGTTTCTTAAATGCTTTTCAGGAAGTAACATTAGAAACAGAACTGCCAGATGCTGCTTGTCATTCTTACCAAAGGCATTGAAGTTACTTGATTTGATTTTAAATTTGTTTATACGCTTGATCCAAAAGGTGAATTTTTTTTTTTTTCCTGTGCTGCCCTTTGCTGGTTTCTCTGACTTCTGTGTTGTGCATAAGTTCATATTCTTATCCATAGTCATCTGGAGAGAGACAGGGAGAGTCAAGCTGACTATGCTAGGAAAACTGTATTAGTCAGCCTTGAACAGGGCCGTCTGAGAGTAATAGCGACATCTTTTTGGAAAAATGTTAGTAGTAGCAGTGGAGAACCCCTCTTGTGCCTGTTTTTATGTGCTGGATGTAGAGAACTCACAGCTGTTCCCAGCAAGCCAGTCCCCAGCCAGCATTTGCGGCCCACATGTGTCAGGCGCATGTGTGTGCTCAAGTGTATGGGGGCCATGCGAGGAGCAGGACACGTTTGTGGTCACAGGCCAGGCGTGGGTTGTCAGTGCTTGCTAGACCATTTTCTGAGAAGTGTAGATGACTGAATTTTTACATTACTGTTGAATACTGCAACTATGATGGAGATTAAAACTTTAACCCAAGCTTGGGGCGTTTGTCAGAAATTACTCCCTGGTTACCTTTTTGATGAGATGAAGTTTACAGCCAGCTTTTCCACTCAGCAAATTGTAGGAAGTCACGTGTTTTGGCATCAGTTGCCCTTAAATTAGAAACAGGACAATAGAGGAAGTTGTTGATTGGAACAATTGTAGTTTCACTTGTCTGAGTGCATCTGCAAATCATAATAAAATTGTTGTCACTGAATGCTGTGGCAATCAGTGGAACAGGTTCCAAAGGGAAGCTTTTGTTCCTGGCTAGGAAAAACCTGTCTTAAAAGGTTTACTTGTCTTCTAAATAGTCAGTGCTAGAATAGGTCACAACGTACTCTTAAACTTCTCCACATTTCAGACAACTCAGGATGAGGCTTTTAATACAGAATTGCCTGTGCTTCGGGAAGAGCAGTGTAACCTTCCTTAAATTGCTTCAGTGTGTCATCAGACTCCAGCTTGGGCATTTTCAATTATGTACTTCAGAAGAAACGTTCAAATGTTTTTAGATAATGTTCTAGCATTTATATGAAATAGCTTCCTTCAAGGAAACAATTTGCTTGCTCTAAGAAGATGACCTCATGGGTATAGCTTTCTGGGCAGTGAATCCGATTTTATGTGGCATGTGATCCCCTCAGGGTGAGGACACACCCTGGCCCTTGGCCTGTGGTCATGAGTCCCTGTGGCCCCACCCCTGCACACTCCTTCCTTTTCTTCTCAGAGCTTCTCTCCTTTTGTTTCCTCTGGGGCCCTGAGACGGAATAAGTTGGGAAAGGCCAAAAAGGGAATGATTCCTCAAAGTCCTGGTCTCAAGCAATCCTCCATCCTCGGCCTCAGCTTCCTAAAGTGCTGCGATGACAGGTGTGAGCCACCGCGCCTGGCCAAGGAAGGCACTTCAAACCTTCTGATAGTTGTTGTGTCAGGAAAGGTACAGCCATGCACCACGTGGGTCCTTGGTGCAATCCCTGAATAGGGCTGTGGATGAGCGAGAAGGACCAGAGAGCCGTGCTGGGGTCCTCACTGCTGACTGTCTTGGGGAGATGGATGATGGATCCAAACACGTCTGTGAACTTTGGAAATACAATCTGCTCTTAAGTTGGGGACTATACATATTTGGTAATGGCTAGTAGACTTGTTGATTTGGCTGGATTCTTTTTTTGGTCCGTTCTCAGACAATAAAGAAATTGGATTATAAATCTAAAATACCAGAATTAATAGCCTTAGTTAGATGGGAGGGGCCACCAGCGACCTTTCTAAGAGTGATAGAAATGTTCTTTCTCCATACAGATTTTCAGAGCTGGCTGAGTGGCATATTTTCACCACATGGAAATTATACCTGAGTAAACAAACATTTCCTAGTCTTCATGTATCTAACCAGTTAGAAAATATAAGAGCAGAGAAAATCCCATTTACAAAGACTGTGGCAAACATCATTAGGAATAGACTGCTTTTCGTTCTCCTCACAGGTGTCAGGGTCAGTTTGGACAGATAGAGAGAGAGTTCTTGCTCTTGGATAGGATGACTCAGCAGCCTGGACATGTCCGTTCCCCCAGGCTCACTGATTAAATTGATGGAATCCCAATAAAAATATCGACTGTCTTTTTTTCCAGAGCTAGTCAAACTGCTCTTAAAGTTCATGTGCTCATAAAGTTCTTGAAAGTAAACATAGAAGAATAATTAGGAAAACACGGAAGTGAAAAGAGCAATGAGCAGAAACTACCTCAGCAGAGCTCGATATGTACTAACAGCCTCTCTACTTCAAGCAGTGTGTTGTCAGACATGGGTAGACAGGTACACAAGTGCATCAGAATGAGACATTGAGAAATAGACCCAAGTGTACAACAAAATTTGGTATATGATAAAAGAGAGGCTGGGCACATGGTGGCTTGCACCTGCACTTTGGGAGGCTGAGGCAGCAGGATCCCTTGAGGCCAGGAGTTCAAGGCCAGCCTGGGCAACATAGCAAGACCAAGTTTCTAAAAAAAATATTAAAAATTTGCTGGGGTATGGTAGCATCTGCCTGTATTTCTAGCTACTCAAGAGACTGAAGGTGGGAGGATCACTTGAGCTCAGGAGTTCAAGGTTTCATTGAGCTATGATTGAGCCAATGTACTCCAGCCTTGGCAACAGAGCAAGACCCTGTCTCTGAAAAAAAGAGAAAAATCTCAAAGTGCTGGGAATGGACTTTTAAATAAATTATATTGAGACACCTAGATAGCCACTGGGAAAAGATGAGCGTGGATCCCTAACTCACACCATATACAAGTATATGGCTCAGAGCTCTCAGAAGTATCCATGTAGCTTTCCTTTGGGAACTATTATCTAAGTTGAGCATTCAGTAGCCTGTTATGCCTTTCCAGGATGTACTCTTGTTTTTCAAATGTATCAGAATTTGCTGGTATACTTCCCATATGGGATGGACCCAGGAACCCTCCCTTTGTCTGTGACTCTTTAGCAGAAATATACTCTGGTTCTTTTGGTACCAACCTTGAGACCACTATCTCTCCTTTTAGAGTGACCATTACTGGGTCTGTGTCACCGTGGCCTTCCCTGTTGACTCTCTTGCTGTTCTGCCCCTTAGAGTTTTAGGTAGTGTATTCACTCCATGACAAGGTGATAGGACCCTTATTTTGAAGCACAATTCTTAAAATTTAAATTATTTTGTGGCTTCTCCTAAAATGCTTGCAGAATCCCCAGGGCTTTACAGAAATAAAGTTTTTGGAAACAACAGCTGTGCCAGCTGTGAGCAGTTGGGTGTTGTCCTCAAGGTACTCACCTTTAAAACCCAGTTAGTCCCATCAGTGCATAGCTTTAAGGAAATTCGTTGTTGGTTTAACACAAGTTGACTTTGTTCTAGTAGTTGATTTAGCACTATTAAGATTACTCTTTGAAAAGTTGCCTCGACTTGGCCTGCTCTTGGAAACTTTGAAGCTTGCATTGATATTAGCACCCTAGACTGATAATACTACTTGGATAAACTCATGAAGATATGAGACATTTGGTTGAATTTTGTACTTACTAATTGTTCCTTTAAACAAACAAACTGAAGATGCTAACAATATTTGTCGTTTCCATCAATATAGATGACAGTGAAGTCACCTGTGTAAAATCTATTTACTGTGCCACTGCGTTTGCACTGCTTGAGGAAGGGAAGCCAGCTGTATTAATGCCTAGACTACTTGACTAACAGGTAAACCCCATACCACCTTCATGCCATTTCATGAGGACTTCGGTGAGGCCTACATAACCTAGTGGCTGGTCACCCAGATCACCTGGATGTGACTTCAGGATAGTTGGTGGGGTGGGGGTGGCTTTCCAGTGCAGGTAGCCTGTAGTACATATCAGCTGGTTATCCTCATTCATTCATTCATTCATTCAGTTCATTCATTCATTCTTTCAACAAATCTCACTGAACGCCTGCTATGTGGCTGAGAACGATGTGAGAGGGTGGAAGCCAAGGTTAGGAAGGCGTGGGCATCACCCTTCAGGGACCAACACTGGGAGAGCCAAGAACAGATGAAAACTGGGTGATAGGATCTCACGAGGGGCTTCTCACTGCCCAGGCAGAGTTTTGCTATCCAAGTCGGGCACTGACCGGCCTTTACACAAGGGAAGGGCCTCTCCTTCTAAAGGATGTCCAGTGAGCCTTGACAAGAGTCTAGAAAGACTCAGGGTGGTTTGAGCAGAAGGTGGGAAGGGTAAGAGGCAGGTGGAGCAGGTGGAGCCGGCTCATGGGAGAGGGTGAAGGGCACAGTCCAGCGGAGAGAGGTGTCCTGTTCTAAAGGAGGAGCCTTCAGCAGACAGCAGCTGTGTCCTAGGCAGAGTCCTCGAGGCAGGTGCCCTGTGCTCCTGGCAGGCTTCCATCCTGCAGAAGAAGACCATATGCATGACCGAGGCTGAGACGGGCCTGTGTGCGCAGGGAACCTCGCAGAGCCCATCACTGGCAGGCTAGGTTCCAAAGTGAGGCCGATTTGCTGGCTGGAGTTAGTGGCTCACCCTGGCCATGTGGTGATGACAGAGGGGGCAGGACACCCTGGGGGCGTGGACTGGGTAACTTTCCTGTCCAGTTGCTGGGGTGTTTTCATATTGTCATTGGAAGGCCAGTTTGGAACCTATTTTTGGAGATTTAGTGGGGAGCCTCCAACATTGCAGAGGAACCCCAATCGGGTAGCTCGGCTGTTCCCTACCTTTTGAACATCAAGGACCAGTTTCTTGGAAGACAGTTTTTCCACAGCTGTTGTGGGGGTCATCAGGCATTAGAGTCTCATAAGGAGTGTGCATCCTAGATCCTTCACATGCACAGTTCACAATAGTGTTCGTGTTCCCACTGATCTGAGCTGCTTGCCTGCCACTCACCTCCTGCTGGGTGGCCTGGTTCCTAGTAGACCACAGACCAGTACAGATCTGTGGCCCAGGGGTTGGGGACCCCTTGGGTAATTGACTCTACTGTAGAGGGGTTCTCCACATCTCCATGTCCTTTTGTCAACTTGTGACTCCTCTGAGGACACAGGTCCTTTGCTCCCTGAGTGTCCAGTCCTGTGAGCACCTTGGCTTTTCCTGGGATTCCTTGGGCCTTTTGATAGCCATAGCTGTGACCCTGCAGTTGGGGTGCATACCATGTGTGGGTGGCTGCAGTGTTTTGCTGGGGCTTCTGTACGACCTGGCAGCGATTCTTCCTCAGCTTTCTTTTTGCAGACAGGGTCTAAGAATGCCACTTCCTGTGGCATGGTTGAGCTGATGGGAAAAGGGGTAGCCTGCCACGTGTTCCCTCTTACAGTCCTGACCTTAACGATCATCTTCTCAGTGCACTTGACTGTGTGGCTTGCTCCCTTGAATTTTCCAGCTCTGCTTGGAGTAGACTGATGGACAGCTTAAGTGACACAGAGTGGAGTGAGGCTGGGGGCTGAGGGAAGCAGCAGGTCCCTCCCGTTGATCTTTCATGTTGATGAGCGAGACTCCCAAGACTTCCCTACCGCTAGTCCAGTTCAGAGGTCAGCAAGCTGTGACCTCTGTAAACTCTCACTTTACACCTAGCAGAGCCCTCTTCCCCCTGGGGTCTGAATGGCATCTCTACGGCCTATACTTGCTAGGGACCTGCCATTGCTCTTTCAGGACTGCCCAAGGGAAGGACTTCATGAAGATGACACTGCAAGGCCCCCTGGGAGAAAGGAAGGAGCTAATCAAGACCACCTTGGGTTAAATGGATAGCAACTAGAAATATTTTTATTGAAACCAGTTGTCTGAGTCCAGCTCAGAGCCTGGATTTGCAGAACTGACCAGCACACTGAGAATGAGTTTTGCCCTTTTAAGGGGTTGTTAAAAGACAAAAGAGAGTATGCAGCAGAGACCTTATGTGTCTCCAAATGCCTAACATATTTATTATCTAGCCTTCTCTCCCCCCGACACTTTTTTTTTTTTTTTTTTTAAAGACAAGGTCTCTCTCACTCGATCACCCAGACTGGAGTGCAGTGGCACAATCATGGCTCACTGCAGCTTTGACCTCCAGGGCTCAAGTGATCCCCAGCCTCCTAAATAGCCAGGACTACAGGCATGTGCCACCGCTTCTGGCCTCAAGCAGTCCTCCTGCCTCAGCCTCCCAAAGTGCTAGGATTATAGGTGTGAGCCACCACACTTGGCCTGTCTAGGCTTTACAGAGACAACTTGTAACATCTGGTCTTGTTGATTCAAAGTGTAGTAATCACGATTCTAAACATTTCAAAGAAAGCCCTTCTCCTATTTTATAATAACCTTAGGACACAGTTTCTCAGCCTTGGCCCTGTTGACTTTTGGGGATGGATCATCCTCTGCTTTGGGGGCTGTTCTTTGCACCTAGGGTGTTGAACAGCATCTCAGGCCTCCACCCACAAGATGCCAGTAACAGCCCCCCTCCCCACCTGTGACAATCTGAAATGTCTCAGGACATCGCCAGATGTCCCTGGGGTGCAGAATTCCCCGTTAAGAATCACTACCTTAGGGTAATTCACAGACACTTATTACAGAGGTCTATTGGCTGATTTTTGGCTGTCGCTAAAATGATTCTTACGAGCAGAGACTGCTTCTTTCAGGCACAAGTCTCCAAAGATGGACACAGCAGTGGGACAAAGGGCTGATGGTACAGAACTGAAGGGTTTGATGTTTATAATTAAGTCATCAGGATCTCTGAGAAAACTAATTGCTGTTGTTCTAGCCAAAAGCCCAGTTGATCTATCTGGGCTTTACAGACATATCTGGATACACTTTGTTCTCATAAAAATGATCCTTCTTATCCAGGGGAAGAAGGCAGTTAGAGTCTTTGACCCTATTCTGTTATAAGACTGACAGATTGACAGCAAAAAAAAGGCCATTATCTGTTATGAGAGGAATGATTCCGTAAAGGCAGGGATGAAGCAAGAATAGCAGGATGTGATGATCACATGCTAAAGCCTGAAGACTTATTACACTATTCTGTTTACTTTGCATATGTTAGAAACATTTCCAGAATAAAGTGTTTTCAAAAACTACTAAGGTAGGATTACAGTTTGGGAACACTTGGTTTAATGGAGATGTTTATATGGTACAGACATGTGGTGAATGTGAAAGAATTCTCAAGTAAGGGATGCCATGTGGAGTTGTAGTGGTGTTTTGGGAACATAAGAAGCAAATATGTGATTTTCAAGGAATTAGCAGGCATGTCAGTAGGCAGTGTGAAAAAGGATGCAAGAAAGAACTGGAAGGGAAGAGCCCAGTGCAGGGGGCTTCTTTGGGACCCTCCCAAGAGCTGTCTGCTTTCACTTTCCCCCCCAGGAGAGCCTTCTTCCTGGATTCTAGAAGGCATCTCCGTGGCCTACACATGCTGGGGACCCGCTATCGCCCTGTGAGGACTGCTCAAGGAAGGGACTAAGTGAAGATGACACCTTGAGGCCCCCTGGGAGAAAGGAAAGAGCATATCAAGACCACCTTTGGCTAAGTGGATAGTAAATAGAAATATTTTTATTGAAATCAGTTGTTGAAAAGCTCTTAGTAAGATGTCAGCTCACAGGCCTACCTCAGTGTAAAATGTGGACACCATTTTGTGTCATTGCAGGGGCTCTTACTGTCTAGCACTTTGATGGAACTGAACCCCAGTTTCTGGAGGCCCAACTGCAGAAGAACCCAGGGTGTTCTACATTCTACCTTGTCTTGCTTAGAGCGAGATGGACCCCATTTTCCTAAGACATGTCTAAGGGGGCATTTCCAGCTGATTTAACTCTGGGGCAGTCTTGTGCTTTATTATAGTGTGTTCCTCCAGGTGGAGGATGTGTCACCAGGCAGGGTTACAGGAGACAGGGTCACAGGAACTAGAGGATTGGTGTTATAGGGGTTCCATGGCCCCCATGTGGACTGGGAGTCTCCAAACCCCTGGATGTTATGGTCAGAGTTGGGCATAGTGGTACTTTTTTTTATTTTTTAATCAAGAGAAAGTCTAACTTTCATTTTATTAGTGAAGGGTTTTATAACCTAAAGTGGTAAAAGATCACTGCCCTAGACATGCTGGCCACAAGAGTCCAGACACCTTTGGGTGGACTTTGGATATCCCCCCGGCAGGGAATCCTGTCGACCCTGCTCTGCCTAGCCTCCCACTTCCCATTTTTTTCCCACCTCTTCAGGTGGTATCTAAAGTTTCCCCTTTTGACTCTCTTTTACTTGCCTCCCCACCCCTCCCGCCTCACCTCCTTCCCTCCCTGTCTCCCTCCCTCTCATAATATTTGCAGGCCCCAGAGGGCACTGCTAACCGCCATCATCGTGCAGGGATATTTACGTGCACAGAGTCGGTGATATTGTTATTGACCACGGTGAACATTTTTAGCTTTTTCTCTACTCATCTTCTCTGATACTGTTTTCCTTTATTGTCCCCTAAGATTAAATTCCATATGAGAAAATGCTGTTTTTCTGGAAAGTAGGTTGTGTTACTTGCACAGACACACCCAGAGTGAGCACCCGTGAACTAAGACTGGAAGAGCTCCATAGAATCTTCTTCTGTGGTCTTGGATCAGTCTCTCAGGGTGTGCAGCTTGCTCGGGTCGGGCGGCGGTCCAGCAGGGCCGTGTGGTGGCCGCCCCCTGACTCTGGTCGGGTTGTTTTTCCTCTTTTGCAGATCATCCGGTCACTCGATGGGGATTAACAGCGGACCACCTGTTTGTGTCACCTTCCCACCTCTCTGTAGCAAGAAAAATAACTTCAGCACCTCTTCAATAATAATGATGAAACTGGTATTAACTGAATGGCAATTATGGATTTTTAACTCTAATTCACAGTAAACCAGCAAGCCATATGTTAAAATCCAACCAAAAAGCGTTCTGTTTTGCTGCATGTCTCATACGATTGTGAGAAGTTGTGAGATACCTGTTTGTACAAAGAGGAATATAAGTATTACTTGCCTGAGGAACACAACTGAAACAGAAAGAGAAGACGTCTTAATTTATCATTAAAGATATATGATAGTATTATTTATATAGATAGAATAAATATATATATATTTTTGGTGGTAATGAAAATGGCTCCGCAGAATGCCGACCCAGAATCTATGCAAGTTCAAGAGTTACCTGTGCCCCTGCCAGATCCGCAGAAACCTGGAGACATGGAGGCCGAGAACCGCGACGAGACCATCAGTGAGGGGTCCATAGACCGGATCCCCATGCGCCTGTGGGTGATGCACGGGGCGGTGATGTTTGGCAGGGAGTTCTGTTACGCCATGGAAACAGCTTTGGTCACGCCAATCCTGTTGCAGATTGGTAAGTGCTACTCCCCATCCAAGTGTGGTGCACGCTGAGCCTGCAGTGCCAGCAAACTGTGCGTGGCTCTGGTCCTGCAGCAGGCAGTAGGGCGGTGCATCCTCAAGAGCCCTGCAAACATGAGTCCCCGTCTTCCCTCCCTTCAACCTGCTCTGATGATAAGTTTCTCTTGTTGTAAGCCAGTGTTGGGGAGGAGTCACCCTGGATGTTGACCTTGAATTAGCTTAGCCACATTGGTAGGGCATCTGGGGCAGAATCCACAATGATAAGTACTGACTCTTGGCACAGGCCTCCATCTCCTACTGGTCTCCGCCACACCGTGAGGAGCCACAAGTGAAGGGCACGGTTACTAGTAGTGACAGTCATTGGCTATGTCATCCTGGCAAGTTGGGAGCATCTCTGTGTTATGCTGAGTTTCCTTATTTGTAAAAGTGAGGGCGATTCAAGACCAACCCTGGTAGGGTTCAAGGCGTATGTTTAGAACAGTACTTTGCCTTGGGAAGCACTGAAGGAGTCTGTTTTTTTACCATCATTTGGTATCGTTGTTATTGTTGACTTGAATCCGAGTTCACTGTGGACTTTAGAAGACTGAGTGACAGGTATTTCCAAAAGTATTGAAATTCACAGAGACACACTTAGGTGGGCATGGCTGAGCCTAGCATGTGGAAGATATGTCTTAGGCCCTGAAAGTTTTGTCAGAATGTTTAATTTTCCTTATGGTCTAAGGAAGTTTTAAAATCTGCATTTTTCCAACTCCTTAGCGTTATAGGAGATCTGCATAGAGGGAGAAATTTTTTTTTTTTTGAGTTGGAGTCTCACTCTGTCCCCCAGACTGGAGTGCAGTGGCATACTGCTCACGGCCACTGCAGCCTAGACCTGCTGAGCTCAGGTGATTCTTCCACCTTAGCCTTCCAAGTTGCTGGAACTACAGGCATGCGCCACCCTCCCCAGCTACTTTTTTATTTATTATATAGATGAGCTCTTGTCAAGTTGCCCAGGCTGGCCTCCCAAAGTGCTGGGATTATAGGTGTGAGCACCACGCCCGGCCTGGACAAACAATTTAAAAGCATCAGTTTTATTCCAGAATTCTACATATTACACAGTAAAATATTCTCAAAGCCTACTTATTTTGGTTGTTTTAGGATGTTTCTTGCTAGAGACATAAAATAAATGTTTATTTGTTCAGTGAGTGCTGACTCAGCTCCACCACGGTACGGGTCACTCACTGAAGTGGTGGACCTCAGTCTAATGTGAAGTTTAGTGCTGCCTTCCATCATGAATGGGGGCAGTGGCCCCGCGAGCATCTGCACCAGAGAACACAGATTTCCCATCATATTACAGTGGGAGCAGGTGTCTTTAAGTATCCCTGGAAACCCATGATTTCAAAATCATAGTAGTTTCCGTGCCCACTCCTAGATTGTGTCGATTACTAAAAAGCTCACATGCCACATTTCTAGTATTTTGATTATTATATTTCAGCATATGCGTTTCCCTCTGTAATCGTTAAAAACTTCGTGTTTTATTTTTCATCCTTGCAAACCTCGTGAGAGGGCATCACGAGGTGGCTGGTGGGCCTGGGGCAAAGGCAAGGCTATGAAAGACCTTTTCTGGAGGGTTGGGAGCTGTGGAGAGTGATCAAGTGTAGTCACTCTTTGGCTCTTTGTCTGTGTGCTTGTCACTCTGCATCTTTCTGTGCATGTTCCGGGGTGGCCACCATGTGCTTGGGCACTGGGCGTGAACACTGGGATGGACAGGACACGAGCCACCGCATATGTCTTGTGTAGCTTAGCTCTGTGGGGAAGCAGCGAAGACTGACCCAAGCAGTAAGCGCCACTTTAAAAGTGCCATGAGGGCCGGGCTCGGTGGCTCAGCCTGTCATCCCACGCCTTTGGGAGGCTGAAGTGAGTGGATTACCTGAGCCCGCGGGTTCGAGACCTGCCTGGGCAGCGAGACCTCATCTCTACAACAAACCAAAAAATCAGCTGGGCGTGGTAGCGCATGCCTGTAATTCTGGCTACTCGGAAGGCTGAGGCGGAAGGATCGCCGGAGCCCAGCGGGTCGAGGCTGCGGTGGCCGGGAGCAGCCACTGCACTCCAGTCTGGGCGACCGAGTGAGACTCCAACTCAAAAAAAAACAAAAAAATTAAAATTAAAAAAAAAATAAAAGTGCCATGAGGGAAAGAACCACAGACCTTCTTGGAGAGTGGGGGTGCCAGCTTCTCTGGGTCTGGGCTGGCGTGGGAAAGCTCCCCAACAGTAGGGAGGGGGCACTCGGGCAGCATGTCTAGCAGCCCAAGGAGAGCAAGGCCTTGGTGTGTTCATGGAACTGAAAGACTCCGTGGCTAGACCCCAACAGGGAAGAAGCTGAGGAGCAATTAGTTTTATTAAACATTTACTTTGTGCCTTTGATGTGTTAAGGACTTGGCACAGGTAATTAAGAAAGCAGTCATCATAGCAAAGCTAAGGTGGTTAGAATTAGAAAGCGGGCACCATCACTCAGTTTCTGCACACTCACAGTTCAGAGCCCCTGGCTACTGAGAAATGAGTTGATATAATAAAGAGTCTCTGGGAACTGCTATTTCCTGATTTTCTCCATAGTATAGATACTTTATTATGACTTTCAAACCCTAACACTCAGGTCTTTGGAACTGTCATACTTTACAGATTGTGAGTCTCAATTCCCATATAACTTTTAGCACATTTTATTGTTTGGTTTTGATTGCTTATTCCTTGAGACTTATGTAGGTATTAGATCATTTTGTATAATAAATACACATGCTTCTCAGCTTATGCTGTGGTTATGTCCTGGTAACCCATCCTAAGTTGAAAATGCATCTAATACACCTAACCTACCGAACATCATAGCCTGGCCTCACCTACCTTAAACATGCTAAGAACTTGCATGAGTCCCTAGTTGGGCAAAATCATCTAACACAAAGCCTGTTTCATAATAAAGTGTTGAATAGTTCATGTAATTTATGAACTACTGTCCTGAAAGTAAAAAAAAAATCAAAAACCTAGAATGCCTGTATAGGTACTTAAAGTATGGTTTCTACTGAGTACGTATCACTCTCACATCATCATGAAGTTGAAAAATTCTAGGTTGGACCATCACAAGTTGGGGCCCCATCTGTATACACATTACTATATTTTAAATAGAGAGAGCATATTAAAGGTAGATTTTCAAAGTTGTAGGTATGTCTTTTCCATATAAACTTCCAGAAATGGTGACTGAAAATAGGAGAATGGTACTAAATGGGAGGCAAACTGACCAAAAGAGGAAACTGTACACCCTGGTTTGTGCTCAGCAGGAGAGCAGGACTTGTGAACAGAAGGTCTTTTTACAGGTCAAAGGAACCAGTACTTTTTTTTTTGAGTTGGAGTCTCACTCTGTTGCCCAGACTGGAGTGCAGTGGCCGCTCCCGGCCACCGCAGCCTTGCCTCCTGGGCTCCGGCGATCCTTCCGCCTCAGCCTTCCGAGTAGGCGGAATTACAGGCATGCACTACCACACCTGGCTGATTTTTTGGTTTATTGTAGAGATGAGGTCTCGCTGCCCAGGCGGGCCTCGAACCCGCGGGCTCAGGCAATCCACTCACCTCAGCCTCCCAAAGGCGCGGGAAGGAACCAGTACTTAATGAGTGTTTGCTCATAAACATGCTTAGCTTGAGTCGAGACAACAAAAGGCCCAATTTACTTCACAGGGTTTGACTTAAATTACACTCATAAGGGCAATATAGTGATCGAAATGTTCTCTGATGCGAGCTGGAGTTTATTTAAAAAGTTGCCTGCTGTACCCGGAGGCACAGTGTTCATTACTGCCACTCCAAGCAGGCGGTGTGACTGGCTCGATAGATATCTCCGGTGATGTGGCTGTCACCACAGGTAGGACCTGGCATGTTTTTATCACCCAGAAGCTCCCAAGTGCCCCTTTCATCAGCTATTGCCCCACTCCCAGCCTCTGTAATCTTGGTGCTGTCTTTTCTGGAGTTGATTCCAGTGGGATCACGTGGGATGTATAGTCTGGCTTCTTTCACTTAGCATAATGCTTTTCTGGTTGGTTCATCCATGTTGCTGCATGAATCACTACTGCATTTCTGTCTCATGCTGACGGTACTGAATGCACACACAACTGTTTATTCATTCATCAGCTGATAGACATTTGGGTTGTTTCTGTTTGGGGGCTATTAAGATAAAACTTCTGTGAGCATTTGCCTACCAGTCTGTGTAGATATGTGTTTCGTTTTTAATGAGGACAAACCTAGGAGTGGGATGGCCGAGTCACGTTTTCCAGTGTAATTGTACCATTTTGCATTCTCACCAGCAGTGTGCGAGAGTTCTTGTTTCTCCACATCCTTGTCGGCACTTGGTGGTGGAAACAAAGTCTTTTAAATTTGAGTCGTTGAAGTGGATGTGAATCGTATCTCAATGTTTTAATTTGTATTTCTGTAATGAGGAATGATGTTAATCATCTTTTTATGTACTTATTAAGCATTTATAATCTTCAGTGACATGTTTTGCGAGAGATCAGATGTTTTTACTGTTTGCCTTATTGAGTTGTAGGAGTTCTTTATATATCCTGGATATAAAAGTCCGTTAACAGATATATGCTTGCAAATATGTTACCCCAGTCTGTTGTTTGCCTTTTCATCTTTCTTATATCTTTCAGAAAGCAAATGTTTTACATTTTGATGAAATGTAGCCTATCAGTTTTCTTTTAATGTTGTTTTTAAACTAAGACCTGATCAACTTTCTCTTCCATTTTTGTCTAGTTTTAACTCTTCCATTAAGGTCTGTGGCCCATTTTGAATTAATTATTATTATTTTTTGAATCAGGATCTCTGTTACCCCTGCTGAGTGTAGTGGTACAGCCACAGCTCATCATAACCTTGACTTCCTGGGCTCAAATGATCCTGCCACCTCAGCCTCCCAAGTAGCTGGGACTACAGGTGTGCACCACCCTACCTGGCAGTTTTTTGAACTTTTTGGAGAGACAAGATCTT